TATATATATATATATCAGAATCAGCTTTATTCGTCAGGTGTGCGCAAACACACGAGGAATTTGTTGTGGTTTTTTAAGGTGCTCCTGGTACATACATGCATACATATACACACACATCTGACATGAGAACAGAAAAAAAACATTTAAATAGTAAGACTTAACAATAAATAATAATAATAATGTGTATGAATATGGAACAGTACATTTATGTAGATTTGTGCATTATTTACTCTATATACAGCTGTATACATAAAAACAATACAACCTTTATAAATTATACTTAAAGCTTTTATCATTGGCAATATTAAAATAATCACTGACCGGAGATCAGTATGTTTGTGTGTGCGAGAGAGAGAGAGCAAAAGGGGCGGAGCTTCACAATCCCTATAGAGAATCCAAACAAACTGATCCGCGGACAGAATCTCACCTCATCCAAACACAGGAGACGTGTTTCCCCCTCAGATGATCAAACATGATCCGCAGAGAGAGCTTCCACAGCCAGAAGACACCGTTAACAGCGTTCAGTTCAAACATTAGACTTCACTAGAGAATTAAACCTTCTCAAGCTCGAGTTCATGGCGTTTCTCGTCAAGAAGAAGAAGTTTAAGTTTCAGACTCATGTTACTCTGGAGGAGCTGACAGCCGTGCCTTTTGTCAATGGAGTTTTGTTCTGTAAGATCAGACTGCTGGATGGAGGAGATTTCACTGCTTCATCATCCAGGTAAATCACCTCTTCATCATCATCATCATCATCATCATCATTTATTTTGTTTATTTATGTAATTCTGGATGCTCTCACTCAAAGTGTGCAGTGCTGATAGTGTCAGATAGTAATACTGTATTCATGCAACATGCTGCTCCAAAGTATTAAAGTTCTTTTTAATGTAAAACCATGGTACATTAATGTCTGTACTATAGTAATGCAATCTGATGCCTTGTATTGCTATCACTGTACCACAGTACCACCACAGTGCTTTTATAAGGTATATGGTAAAAATAAATAGCAGTACTATGGTTCTTGTCTTAAAATGATGCTACTACCGTGGTACTTGTTGCTCTGCAGCTTTAAAATGAAAAGTTCTTTGCTTTAAATTCAGTAGGACCTTCTTGCAGTGTTTTTTAGCATATTTGAGATGTTCTATTTTTGAGTCATATTTTGAATTATTCTTTATTTTTATATTTCCATGTTTTCATTTTCAAGTTTGAGTATTTTTTTGGTTTGTTTTTGTCTTTTATTAGTTTTGTTTTTTACACATAAAAAATATTTTTTCATCAGTTAAACTGAAAATGAGAAATGTTGCTTTGGCAACTAGCTAAAATAGTAAAATAAAAAAAAATATTGTCAGTTAATGTTTATTTAATTTCAAGTTATAAAATTATTTATTTATTGTTTACTGTAATAACTCTGCCCTCTCGTAATTGTTAAGAATCAATTTTTATTTAATTTTTTGGCTGTGGGATTTTGGAGTATTTGGTTCTAGAAAATTAAAACACTTTTTATTACATATTAGGTTCTTCTGACCATTGATTTGGTTCTAAAGGAACACTGCTAGAGTGTTGTGATTGGTTGCCGGGAGTTGCTATTAATGATCTATTTCTCAGTTAAAGTCCATCAGTTTGAGACGGTTGCATGAGGATGTTGATCGTGACATGTTCACATGTACAAGATCATTTCCAGATGCAGTGTCTGTTGAATTGTTGTTTTTGTAGTCTGATACTGCTGTCTATACGTTTCACTTCATCCTTTAATAGTGTCATTATGAGCTCCATCATGGATTTGTCTGTGTAATCTAGATATTGCATTTTATCGTTGTCCTTCGGTTTACTCATGACTCAAATGCTGTAGTCTTTCAAACATAAACAGAAACTCTCACATTACAGAAACACTGAGTTCAGGTTTCCTATACTCGTAGTAAAGTAAAGTCAGTCTTAAACTATGCATAGTTGTTATCTGAGTGTGATTTAGAGCTCGGCTGTTGTTTTCCAGGCTGTCCGGTGTCTTTTCTCCTCTTTGCTCATTTCACTCTGAGAATAACAGGAAAGACTCACTCACTGTCCTCCACATCAGTTGTTGTATCATACAGCAGTTTTTTCCATCCGTGCATCCTGGTGTTTCACTGCAGGAGTTTTGTGTTGCAAGTTGTGCTATTCTTTGCAATAACATGCTCTGATAAATCATTTGCATTTAAAGGAATAGTGAAAAAGAAAGAAAAATGCTGAAAGTGTGCTCACCCTCAGGTCATTCAAGATGTAGATGAGTTTGTTTCTAAATCAGATTTGGAGAAATGTAGCATTGCATCACTTGCTCAGCAATGGATGCTCTGCAGTGAATGGGTGCCGTCAGAATGAGAGTCCAAACAGCTGATAAAAACATCACAATAATCCACAAGTAATCCACAGCACTCCAGTCCATCAGTTAATGTCTTGTGAAGCCAAAAGCTGCCTGTTTGTAAGAGACAAATCCATCAAGACATGTTAACTTCAGTCAGGAGAGAAATCTGCACAGATCAAACAATGTTTACAAGCCAAAAGTCCAAAACAGCTCTAAACAAATATGTGGGTGGATTTTGAAGTGAGAGACAACAGAACTTTTTCACTGTCGTATTTTAGCCGGAAGCCACAGTTTAAAACATCTTAATGATGGATTTATTTCTTACAAACGCACAGTTTTTGGCTTCACAAGATGTAAACTGATGGACTGGAGTGGTGTGGATTATTGTGATGTTTTTATCAGCTGTTTGGACTCTCATTCTGACGGCACCCATTCACTGCAGAGGATCCATGGGTGAGCAAGTGATGCAATGCTGCATTTCTCCAAATCTGATGAAGAAACAAACTAATTTATATCTTGAATGACCTGAGGGGGAGCAAATGTGCATTTTTGGGGTTAACTATTCCTTTAAGGCCAGGAACATGCTTTAAAGTAATTTTGATTTCATGTTGACAGGTCTGTTTCTAGCTGTTCAGTTTATGAGAGAACCAGTGCCAGACCACAAGCTCTTAAAGGTCTCATTTATTTCTTTTTAACATTCTCATTCAAGTCACACACGTTCTCCTGTCTCCCACCCTTCAAACACACACACACACACACACACACACACACACACCTCCCTCAGCACATAAACCGCTTTTGTTTCAGTGGAGTCCTGGGTTGGTTGGCTGGAGGAAGTCAAATGGCAGCGCATGGAGACAGTAGACGGACAGAGACGTCAGTGAACGTGAGTGAGAGGAAGTTCACAGATCAGACTGTAGTTTTCCTCACTCACTTTGAGCCTGTTGGGTTCATCATCCTGCTGTTTGCTTATCTAGATTTTGAGGATTGCAGGATATTGTTGAAATGCAAAAAGAAACATCAGAAACGGAAAGTTGCTTTTTGTTTTGCAGGAAGTTTGGTGCTACATGTGGTGTTTGGTTTCACACGGTTTCAGACAGATGACAAGAACAGGAGGAATGAGGCCATCACTAGCAACCCAGCAATAAATTAGACGTCTGACCCAATTTTATTGCTGGGTGATTTGACTAGTATAATTATTCATATAATTCATTTCAGTTCAGTTTCAATAAATCAATTCAGAACTCAATGATTTACTCCAGAATATTTGCAGAAGTGCCTGCATAGCATTTTTCATCAATTAAAATTTTTAGTAGCAATATATGGAGATAAAGAATGCTGTTTATGGCTATGAATTGTTATATTGGTGCAAATTAATGTAAATGATTAACTATAATCCTTCCTTCTGTCCATTTAGTGAAAAAAGGGTAGAAAACATTCCCTGATTTATTTTTAGGTATTTTACTGTGTTTTTA